TTCTCGGTCTAGTGTTAGTTCTAGTTTTAGTTCAATATTTTCTAGTTCTAGGTATTTTCTAGTTTTAGTGGCAATGGTAGATACCATAAGATATTACTATGTTATATATTGTTATTGAACAATTTACATGCCACCATCGTTGAGACCTCCGAGAGGTCAACGCAGGGTGCCGAGTTCCTACTTGTGGAGATAAAATGTGCAGGCAATGCGGTTTTATTTGGCGCCTTTTATTGTCCTCCTCTCGCCAATTACTTTGACCAGGTGGAGGAGATCCTTGAGAGACACTCTCTTCATTTTGATACAATTCTTTTAATGGGTGATTTCAACACCTGCTTATTAAAAAATGATGCACCTTGTGAAAAACTACAATTTATAACTTCGTCATTAAATCTATCAGTTTTACTCTCTCTGCCGACTCACCGCTCGTCATCCTCTCACACTCTCCTTGATCTTATTATCACGTCTCGTCCGGACAATATTCTTACGCAAGATCAGTTGTCTGCACTTCAATTTTCGAATCATGATTTGATTTACTGTACGTTGCAGTTACGACGTCAGGTTGCTTCCCGGCGCTCTGTGATTCACCGTGATCTTCAAAGTATAGATTGGAGGTTATTGATGTCTGAAGCAAGCGAAATTGATTGGCAGCAACATTACCGATTGCCTGACATAGATGTTAAGGTGCAGTACTTTAATTCCAAGATTCTTGACTCGGAGAGTTACACACATGCCGGCACCTTGGCTGAATGATGAGATTAGATTTCTCATGCAGGAGCGCAATCGTGCTAAGTTATTGTTCAAACGTAGCCTTTCTGCTGCCAATCGGGAACATTATCGTGTGCTGCGCAAAAAGATTGCACTACTGTCAGAGGTTGTCTGGAGTCACTCATAAGACATTTGGAAAACAATATCAACAGGGTAACATAACTTGGTGTTATAGAGTCTCCTACAGATCTGCCCACTCTTGATGCTGCTGCCCTGGCGGAGTATTTTGGAGATCCTCCTGTGGTGGTTGGTAACATAACTAGGCAGAATACTATTAAGGAAATCCTTGCATCTACCAACGTGCTTTCTTTTTCATTCAGTTTGGTTACGGATGCTGAGGTCGGAGATGCTTTAACTTATTCCTAGTCCACTCGTGTCGGAGCAGATGCTATTGGACTCCTCTTACCTATTCTGGATATAGTTATTACTCCCCTAACACATATTTTCAACTGTTCTTTTGAACAGTCTATATTTCCGTCAATCTGGCTGTAATGTTTAAGCTCTTCTTTTCATTCTCTGTATTTTACTTCTCGAGTTTGGAGTGTAATTTATTTAAAATAACTTATTTCTTTTACTTTCTTTATTTAATCTTACGATGACTACATTACGACTCTAAGTTTAGCTTCTAATTGCTTATATCAAATCAAACACCATTTATTTGTTGATTTGGCGAATTGTTGAATTGGCGAATTGGCCTCGCACAAGTATGCCTACTTGTACATTTTTTTAAGTTTATTGACTTGATTAATTGTTCAATATTCGCCAACTACAAACAATTTATTTTCCATTACATGGCGAATTGCCCATGCTATTCCTATCCCAAAAATTAAATCTCCTTGCCATGTTTTTGACTTTCGACCCATTTCTATTCTATCTACGTTGTCAAAAGCTATTGAACGTTTTGCTTATTTACAGATTCAGAAATATCTTGAGGAGTTTAATCTGATTAACAAGTTCCAGTCTGGTTTTCGTGAAGGGTATGGTACTACTACAGCACTGATTAAGATCACCGATGATATTAGATCACCTTGTGATAAGCGTTGTGTTACCTTGCTAGTGTTACTTGATTTTAGTAAGGCCTTTGATTCTGTGGACCATGTTCTCCTATTAACTAGGCTTTCTGCTATTGGTTTTATCTTTTCTTGTGTATCTTGGTTCTAGTCCCAACCCAACCCAACCCAACCTTTCCAATCGGTCTTTACGTGTCCTTTGCTCTTCTCAATTTTCATAAATAGTATTAGTGATGCTATCTCGTGTAACTATCATTTGTATGCATATGACCTTGAACTTTATATTTCGTCAACTGTTAACAACCTCCCAAATGCTTTGTTGCATCTTAACAACGACCTCTCTACCGTACTTAACTGATCTAGACGTTATGGACTTAACCTGAATTCAAGTAAAACGCAAGCCATTGCATTTGGCACTTGCCCCTTGCTGGCACAATTTAATTCCTTAACTACCCTTCAACCGAGGCTTGGCGACAACGTTATTCCGTGTTCTAATACGGTCAAAAATCTTGGTGTGGTAATGGATTCGGCGATGTCTTGGCAGCCACTTCTGTTTCCATACTTTGAAAACACTTCGCTGCTACCTTCCTCCTGTTATACGCCGTAATCTTTGTTATTCTCTCATTTTCCCACACATTGATTATGCCGATTTTCCCGATCTGTCCGCAGTCCTTCAGGGTAAATTGGAAAGACTTCAGAACAATTGTATACGGTACCTTTTTGATTTAGGAAAGTTTCAGCACATTACTCCATATCGTAACAACCTGCAGATGATGACTTGCCAGAGTCGTAGATCATTTCGTATGCTTACTATGTTGTAGAAAATTTTCCATATCCGCACTCCTGCTTATTTATCTGATGCTTTTCATTTTTTAGCACCACATGATCTGCCCACTCGATCAATGTCGGACTTTACAGTCATGTTTCTAGTCCATAGTACTGAAATCTACCACAGATCTTTTACAGTGCAGTCGATTGCGTTGTGGAACGATTTGCCTGCCATTGTTCGCAATGCAACTAGTTTAATAAGTTTTAAAAATGCCTTGAGGTGAAGAACTATCTTCTTCTGATCTATACGTGTTTGTTTTCTTCTTTAGTCTGCCTTTCATCTATCTTTTACTGCATTTTTTTTGTGTCTATTTTCTTCCTTGTAGTAACTGACTGTCGATCCGTTACATAGCTCAAATATGCTCATTCTTTATTAGTGCATCATTTAGTATTATTTTTTTGGTAGCCATAATTATTTATTTAAAATTAGATATACACTGTTACCAGTTGGGTCTCTTGGAAGATATTATTGCGACAAATTGATCCTTTTGTCTTGATGTCTATATTTGTTATGAATGTATATATTTATGTAAATATTTGTTTTTGAGGCAAAAAACATTATTATTATTAAAAATTTCGGGATTAGCCGTGCATCTTCAGATTGATAGTGTTAGTTCTAGTTTTACGCTAGCACTATCAGTAAAACTAAGACAAGACCTAGACTAGAATCATTGGGGTTTAGTCATACTGAGAGATGTGTGGCTAAACCCGAATGTTTCTCGAATGTTCCTAATGTAATTTTTGCTTAAAACTGAATAATAGTAACCCTTCTTTTTGTCGCTTCATTTTGAAAATACTCCTCCGAATTAAAAAATAGAATATAATACAAAGAAGTACATTTGACGCGCTCCGTATAAAACCCTCGACTATTCTTCTTATAGCAGAAGATTCAAACCTTCACCCTAACCGAACAACCACACGTTGATTTCATTAAGGAGTATTAAATGTCAGCCTTTAAAGACCCTTTCTACGATACGCTCGTGGTCCAATTCATCCTCCCTTCAATTCATTATTGTATTTAATTGTCCCTGGTCGAATACAGTTAACAAAACAAACCACTAAACAAATAAAACGAATCACGTCAAGCCTCCGGTACGTTGATATTTTTGTGCCATAGCTACCAGGTAGAAAGAAGAGTTCTCGTATCGAATTCGTACACTGCGTACTGTATTTTTTTCTTTTGGTTTCTTTTTCTCCGGTCGTTGATTGTATTCTCTTCGCTATTATGCTCTTTTGTTGGGGATGAATTGCGTGGGAAATGCCTTCTCGTATTACCCACTATTATACCTTTAGGATTTTGCACGGAACACAACTCGGGTTTAACCAATGATCGCAGCCTAACGTTATATTTGCGAGGCCGATCAGATAAATATCGGTTAATATGTGTGTGTATACGGTTCATTTAAAGGGCATCACTTGCGTTATACGAATATAATGGTTGTGTTTTGAAATCAATTGATTTACATCAACAATGTCAGAATCTTCCTATATCTACTATATTGAGTAAACCGTACATAATAGGGGGATTGTTTCGTGGCTTGTAGAAACAATTAACTCTGCTATCGGGGTGTGGAGGGCACTATTATAGGTTGGGGTACTTATAAGGTATGACCTGGGCCTCCCTCGGAAACAATACAAGTGGTTTGTGAGCCGAAACCCGTCAAGTGAGAGATTTGATATTGAACTTAGCTCGATAATATTCGTGAATGTTGAGTGGACAATTAAAAGTGTATGCTCGGAATTAGGATTAACTGTGGGCAGCTTATTTTAATTTTGATAAAAGGGGTTCCTCTCTTTCAATAAAACCAGAGATCGCATCAGTTTAAAAACTTTACACGGTCTCTTGGGCATGGTTTTTTCCAAGACCTTATAGAAACGGAGACAAACATTTAAACTTTGGCTTTATAATATAAGAGAAGAGAGGGATATGTTCATATTTTGTACAACTACCCCTGGTTCATTCGTTTTTTTCTCTATTATTTCGAATGCGGAGTACTCTTATGGTCACACGCACAGCACCACCATTCAGAACGTGAATGGAGGAATATCTTTATTCAAATTGTACAAACGCACCGTGGCGCGTATAGAAAAATTATTAGTGCCAACAATAGGGTGTACAACAATCGAGATACGATCGAACGGCGGCATCCGACCGCGAATAAAAGAGTAAATAAAGAGGCGACCGCGATTGCGATTATGATATTTATTAAATGGGCGGTCAGTCGAGCGAATATTTGGTGGAGTGCTTATACCAACGTCTGTATATCTGTTTATGGGAGCATAATTAACATAAGTAAACATTATTTTAATTCAATGTCTGGTATATTTAAATATATACAAAAATTACATCATATTAAACAATAAATACAATTACTCGTATAGAAAAAAAAACAAACATTAAAACACAGCAGATATATAAAACTTATCTTCTTAATGATAATAAGCTGGAGCAGCATAACCAGCTACTTTGGCAATTGGGGCAGAGTAGGCGTACGGCGACACAACTTTGGCAACTGGAGCACCGTATGCTACTGGAGCAACAACTTTAGCTACTGGAGCGACAGCTTTAACGATTGGTTCTCCTTCTTTGTGGACAACGGCGTTGAATCCGTTGTGGGCATCAGCGGTGTATTCAACAATACGTTTGGTTCCGTCAGCTTCAACCAAAGAATAAGATCCGTGGACAACATCTCCTTGTCTGGATTCTTGTTGAGTTTTGGAATCTCCGGTGTGTGGGTCGTTGACGGCATAAGCGAAATCGTATGCAGCTGGAGCTTCTGGTTCGGAAACGTAGGTTTTAGCTACAACGGGGGCGGCGTATTTAGCTACAACTGGGGCGGAATAGGTGACTGGAGCTGGTGCGTATTTGGCAATGGTTGGAGCGGCATAAGAGTAAGATGGAGCGGCGTATGTGGAGTAAGTTGGGGCAGAGTAGGCAACTTTAGCAATAGGAGCGGCGTATGTGGAGTAAGCTGGAGCAGAGTACGCAACTTTAGCAATTGGGGCGGCATAGGTGGAGTAAGCTGGAGCAGAGTATGCAACTGGAGCTGCTACTTTAGCAACAGCTGGAGTTGAGATGTACGCATGAGACACTGCTGGTGCTGCACTGTATGTTGCTACCGGTGCGGCATATCCGTGGAGACCAAGAGGAACTCCAGCGTTGGCAAAAGCCAAAAGAGTAGTGAATGCAACAAACTATAAAAATATTAAATAAATAATTTCATTTTTATAGGTTTTTTTTAACGTACCTTGAACACCATGTTTATTAAAAGTTAACCAATGATTATTGTTACTTGATTCCGTAAAGGATTTTTGGTGACTACGGTATACATGAGATTAATCTGAGCTTATATATCGATCAGAATTGGAGGGTGTGGTTACTGGAAGGAGTATGGCCCGGGCCGAAAGAGTGTCGGTGTGTCCTTTCACTGTCGTAGCTCGCTTCTTTGGCGGTCCATTGTCGGTGTTAGTAACATTTGCAAATTAAAACCGGGCATATAATACAATCCATATCAAATTTATTCCGATTCCATTACGCTATAATTATATAAGGTCGAACTCTAACGTCGGAACGTATCCGATCGATTGCGCAATGTACGACGTTTCTTCGACGAATAAGTATATTATTTGGGTCATCGAGAGAACTTGAATTTTTTTATAATTTTACGAATTTCGACAGGCTAATTATGTGATATAGTTTTTCCATGCGACTTTTGCAATAAATTTTATGTGTAGCAGTCGGTTAAGAAATCTTTTCAAACGGATTTTCGATTTGCGTTGCTTCATTATAAGAAATGTGACGTGTTTATAAAAACGATTAAATTTATATGTATTAATGCAAGATAAACTTTCTTTTCTCAGTTAATTTTTTTGTTACTTTATGTACCCTCAATAAATGTTGCAATATATTTTTATATTATAGAATTACATACAAATTTATTTGTTTACTACATTTGTTTCATCAGGTACCGAAAGTATTTTAATTAACAATAAATTACTTTTATTAATTACAATTACTTTTAAGTGTTGTCGTATTAATTACATTTTTATAAAAAAATATTTAAACATGCTATTGAGACAAATAGTAGCATTACAAATTTATCATAATACCTAATTACATTAATTTACTAGAATAATTGTTGTTTTTCTATGGAAAGATAAGACTCAGGAACTATGTAGGAATGGAGATAACGACACATATATTTTTTTTAATTTAACAAATTTGTTATCCTATAAAGTGTCACAACCGTTATAGAAAAGTCTCATTATTTATCCGAGCAATTAAGTCAGAAACAAGATTTTACCATTTGCGAAGGAGATTAAGTATAACTGAAAGAATATATTTATCCCATAAATTCTTGTAGCTTCACGGAAAATTTGAATTAAGCCATCTCTTTCAGTCTAAATGCATTTAAATTCAATTCATGTTGCAATTCGTTTATGTGACCATGATTATCACTGCCAAATATAGAAGAAGAACCATTTCTTTCTTGCAACTGTATGTGTCATATCTTACTATCACGAAAAGAAACAAGAAATAAGCTTGATTAGGACAGTAACAAGTCGGAATTTTATTTTTTTTTAGTAGGCAGAAGACAAAATCTATCTTTTTCACCATCAGGAAGCATTAAATTTTTATCCGAGCCTGTCTAGAGGCGATATTTTAATTATGCCAAAGTGGCGATACAAAAAGATAGTTGCAACCTAACGCTTTTTCTTCAGCGAAAAATCTTCTATCAAAATCTATCTTTCTAGGACATCCTTCTTCACATGCTATCCTATAATTGTCGACTGATGCATCTAACACAGGTATGGGAGCTGTTTTAGCGCAAACCGTCAATGGAAGGTCTCAACCATTAGCGTTCTTTTCCAAAAAATTTAATTCATGCCAAACCAAATATTCCACTTTTGATAGAGAACTTTTAGCAATCTACTCTGCTATCAAATTTTTCAAACATTCGTTACATGGAAATAAATTTACAGTATATACAGATCACAAACCCATTGTCGCATCAAGTTATATTGCACAATTTACTTCAGATATCAAATACATCAGAGGAAATTCAAATGTTGTTGCAGATACTCTATCCAGAACAAACATCGGATCTCTAAATTCACCTTATCCAGATTTTCTAGCCCTTAGCAACGCTCAACTTGCTGACACAGAATTGGAAAACTTACTAAATAAGCAATTTTCCAACCATCCTTCAAAATCTTATCGTTTAACACATCAAACAACATCACAATCCGATATCAAACTGTGGTGTGAAACCTCTTCATCATCTCCAAGAATTTATATTCCGCAACAGTTCAGACAAGCAATTTTTGACAAAATTCATAGCTTATCTCATCCCGGAATACGTTCCACCATTCATGCTATCAAAACAAGATTCTTTTGGCCACACATGTCAAAGCAAATTCATGTTTGGACCAAAACCTGCTTAAAATGTCAACAAGCAAAAATTCAAAAACATACAAAATCGCCAATCATCAACATCAAAATTCCTAAAATTAGATTTGATCATATACAAATCGACTCACTCCGTCCCTTGGTTGTACTTATGTACTTCCAGTTATCGAGCGCTTCACTCGATGGCCAGAAGCTTTTCCGCTGAAGGATATCACATCTTCTACTATAGCAAACACACTCTTCCGGCATTATTTTAGTCGATTTGGTATACCTACCACAATAACACATGATCAGGGACGGCAATTCGAATCAAACCTCTTTTCAAAATTTAACACATTACTTGGCACATGACAAATACATACATCATCTTTCCATCCCCAAGCAAATGGAATGTTAGAACGATTTCATCGATCATTGAAGACGGCTATCATCGCTAAAGGAGACTCTACTAGATGGAACAACAGTCTACCCCTCATCCTACTAGGATTAAGAACATCACTTAAGGAAGCTCCTCAGCAGAACTGCTTTACGGGCAACCACTAAGACTTCCAGGAGAGTTCTTCATACCTACTAATCCATCTATTGACTATGAGCCTTTCCTCTCCAGTTTAAGAGACACTTTTTCAAAATTAAAACCGGTTTTTGTCATCTCAGTTTTTTCTCGACCATATTTTCCTCCGCATTGAGTGTAGTTGTATGTTGGCTATATCTAGATGGTAGATTTTGTCTATTCTAGATTGCGCAAGGAGAAAGAAGTGGAAAGCATTGCATAGCAAAAATTTATTTTAACGAACAACCCTAATAAAGTCTCAAATAAAAGAGGTTTGTGATTTACTAGATAACTTCAAATTTCGTTTGCGAACCCGAAATAACTTCTAGTAGTTTCCTTAATTGGTGACTAGATGTAATTTGTTGAGGTTATCCAATTCGTGTGACTCATAAAATGTATAATAAGTTTCAGGTCAACAAAAACAAAATATTTAAAGATAAATCTCCTTTATTATGGTACAAAAAGAAATTCACCAAAAATTGCAATTATATACAGATAGTGCTTCATACAAATCGGTATCAATAAATAACAATACGTTAAAACCATTCATTTTCTATCAATCATCCACGTTTGTTTTCGGCATCAATTGACACAATTGATCCGAAGTTTGGTTTATTTAACTTAATGGTAGTAGGCTGGGGCAGCATAAGCTACTGGAGCAGCTACTTTAGCAATTGGTGCGGAGTAGGCATATGGAGACACAACTTTGGCAACTGGAGCACTGTAAGCGACTGGGGCTACAGCTTTAACAACTGGTTCTCCTTCTTTGTGGACAACAGCGTTGAATCCGTTGTGGGCATCAGCGGTGTATTCAACAATACGTTTGGTTCCGTCAGCTTCAACCAAAGAATAAGATCCATGGACAACATCTCCTTGTCTGGATTCTTGTTGGGTTTTGGAGTCTCCGGTATGTGGGTCGTTGACGGCATAGGCGAAATCGTAAGCAGCTGGAGCAACTGGTTCGGCAACGTAGGTTTTAGCTACGACGGGGGAGGCGTATTTAGCTACAACTGGGGCGGAGTAGGTGACTGGAGCTGGTGCGTATTTGGCGATGGTTGGGGCGGAATAAGAGTAAGATGGAGCGGCGTATGTGGAGTAAGTTGGGGCGGAATAGGCAACTTTGGCAACTGGAGCGGCATAGGTGGAGTAAGCTGGAGCAGAGTATGCAACTGGAGCTGCTACTTTAGCAACAGCTGGAGTTGAAATGTAAGCGTGGGACACAGCTGGGGCAGCACTGTAGCTTGCTACGGCTGGGGCAGCATATCCATGGAGACCCAAAGGAACTCCCGCATTGGCGAAAGCCAAAAGAGTGGCGAAAGCAACAAACTAAAAAAATTATAAACGTTACAATTATGATTAATTTTTTTTGAGATCACTTACTTTGAACATGTTGATTGTTTGAGATATTTTTGGTAACTGTGCTATTCGGAGGGAACCGTCCGCTTTTATACCAATTTGATGGCTTAGGCGTGGTCCTTTTGAAGTAGAGTTGACTCCGCAATCCGGTGTATGTCAATTGTCCTTTCACCGGGTCCCGACGGTGATATGTTTCGGATTTTGAAATGATTAAAAAAACGCGTAGGAACACAGTATTTTCAAATTGTTGCAATCACGTATATGTTCAAGCGATTTCCAAATTCAATTTAGTACGTGAAAGAAATATATTTTTGTAATGCAATGGACCCTATTTATGTAAATATCTTAAAAAATGGATCGATTGTAATGCGCAACTGTATGAAAATGAACCCCATAGGTCTTTGCGACGCCAATGACGTAGCGTCGCGACGTTAAACTGTTGCGAGCGCACGTTCCGCTACAGTAACGATTTAATGGCATTGGTGGCGCCCGTTTGTCTGCAGATATGGCGAGCCGACATCGTCGATGTAAAGCTTTATTAGGATATGCCATTAAAAGGAATTGAATTACAATCGTTTAAAATTTTACTACTTTATTGAACATGAACAATATAATTAGAAGCTTTTTTCTGTGAAATAAATTCCTATTTAAAAGTCAATCAATTAAATATTTAGACTGCTCGGAATGTTACAAGGTGAAGGTTCAGATTGAGAAAGTAATAAACTGAAATTAAATAGACCGTGAAAAGTAGGTCCAACGTAACAACTAGACGCTGTTAAATACATTAAAACGAAGAAAATGACTTAAAGGTAGGTCGATTATGTAATATTAAAAATAATTAACTATTTTTGATTTATAGTATTTTAGAAGAAAGTTGTAATTTCGGAATTTATCGTTGCAATTAACGTTTAAGTTACGCAAGATAGTGGTTTTAATTGTTTTCGACCGATTCATTTCTCTCAGGTTTTGTTAATTTGCCATGCAAGGGTAATTTAGTGGAGGTTGTTTATTACATAAGTTATCATCATAAGAATCATTGGGGTTTAGCCGTCTTTAGAGACGTGCGGCTAAACCCAAATGATTCTAGTTTTAGGTATAGTGGAAGTTCTACATAGTAACAGTGCTAGTGTAAAACTGGAACTAACACTATACCTAGAACTAGAATCATTCGGGTTTAGCCGTCTTTAGAGACGTGTGGCTAAACCCAAATGATTCTAGTTCTAGGTATAGTGTTAGTTCTACATAGTAATAGTGCTAGTGTAAAACTAGAACTAACACTATACCTACAACTAGAATCATTGGGGTTTAGCCGTCTTTGGAGACGTGCGGCTAAACCCAAATGATTCTAGTTCTAGGTCTAGTGTTAGTTCTAGCACTACCACTAGAAATAACACAAGACCTAGAACTAGAATCATTCGGGTTTAGCCGTCTTGAGAGACGTGCGGCTAAATCCGAATGTTTCTAGTTCTTGGTCTACTGGTAGTTCTAGCACTACCACTAGAAATAACACAAGACCTAAAACTAGAATCATTTGGGTTTAGCCACACGTCTCTAAAGACGGCTAAACCCCAATGATTTTAGTTCTAGGTATAGTGTTAGTTCTACATAGTAATAGTGTTAGTGTAAAACTGGAACTAACACTATACCTGCGTACTATACGTGCGGCTAAACCCAAATGATTCTAATTTTAGGTATAGTGGTAGTTCTACATAGTAACAGTGCTAGTGTAAAACTGGAACTAACACTATACCTAGAACTAGAATCATTCGGGTTTAGCCGTCTTTAGAGACGTGCGGCTAAACCCAAATGATTCTAGTTTTAGGTATAGTGGTAGTTCTACATAGTATACTTATTATACTACTTGCTACTTATCGTTGCAATTAACGTTTAAGTTACGCAAGATAGTGGTTTTAATTGTTTTCGACCAATTCATTTCTCTCAGGTTTTGTTAATTTGCCATACCAAGGGTAATTTAGTGGAGGTTGTTTATTACATAAGTTAACCGGCACAACGTGGTCTTTTTTGGAATTGTATTAAGGACCAATCTCCTTGACCCCATAAGAATAAAGTGGATATTTAAGAAGGACTTGTCTCGATTTATACCTTGATCGAGATTTCGATGTTAAGCCGGACCATTCTCGGTAATTGTGTGATTGCGCAACCTTTTTTATTTCACCTGGCGAAACGGAAATGGACAAAATTCCTCGAGGTTTATAATAGAAACCGGACGGGCACCGTATAGGTGTACCTACACCTTTCTTTTGACCGCGAATATGGTGGTGTTGAAGAAGTGGAACAACACGGCCGACTTGAACCACATCACGAATACTCTTGCTCTCAACCGAAGGCCGGTCGACCGCTTTCGATTATTAAACAATTTTTATTATGTCATCCAATACATCGAGGCGTGGTTTTTTTCTTACGTACATAAAATAATTTATAAAGTTTTGAAATAATTTGGTTCTTAATATCCATTTAGCTACCTATTTAGGAATTTCCCGACTTTTATTCCACTCCGATATTTTTTAAATAATTTCTTGACCTTGTTAATCTGTCTATTTATTCCTATCACATCCGTATCCATTCATGGTCAAAAGTTCAGAAAGTTAAATCAGAAAAAAGAAATCATTAAACGTCAATCAACTTTGTGTTACAACTTTGCCCCTTCAATAACATTTGTCTAAATCTCTTTAACTGTAACTAATTGTTACAATTCGAAACACAATTTGAAATGCTAAAATCGGATTATAGACGTAACAAGCTCTACAACCGGTTCTTCATTGAATTTCCTCACATTCAAAGGCAATAATCGCACACGTTACTGCTTCTCGTTTGTAAACAAATCGTGGGCATTATGGATTGCGTAAGATTGCACTCAATCCAGGTGCGGTTTAAATCGAAAATCTTATCCAGAGGAGACCGTTTTATTCATTATCTCGGTACTCTCGAGATAGATTGTAGAGTGGTTCCTGTTCAACTTTGGTTACAAGCAGTTCAATTTACTTCTTACTGTTTATCTTCTAGTTGCTCTCCATTATGACTTTTAGCATTTTACATGAGTTGAGGTGAAAGCGTGCGCCGATTTATTTATACTTTTTTTTGCATTAGTCACCGAACGCACCTGAACGATTTATCTGGTTAGCATTTAGTCTTGTTGAAATTGGAACACTACGATTTTCTAGGAAATTCTTTTTCGATCGTGATACTATGTATGGACATCGTTAATTAAAGCTCCAAACGATCGTAGTCATTGTTATGTTGGAATTAAATGAGTTGTGATTGATTTAAACGACCATTTATTGTGTAGAAGTGAAACTAAAACGTTATTGTGTTTAACAATAAGGAATAATCAAATAGAATAACTAGAAACATTCGGATTTAGCCCCACTTCTCTCAAGACGGCTAAACCCGAATGATTACAGGTCTTGTGTTAGTTCTAGTGATAGTACTAGTGCACAACTAGAATCATTGGGGTTTAGCGGTCTTTAGAGACGTGCGGCTAAACCCAAATGATTCTAGTTCTAGGTCTAGTGTTAGTTCTAGCACTACTACTAGAAATAACACAAGACCTAGAACTAGAATCATTCGGGTTTAGCCGTCTTGAGCGACGTGCTGCTAAATCCGAATGTTTCTAGTTCTTGGTCTAGTGGTGGTTCTAGCACTACCACTAGAAATAACACAAGACCTAGAACTAGAATCATTCGGGTTTAGCCGTCTTGAGAGACGTACGGCTAAATCCGAATGTTTCTAGTTCCTGGTCTAGTGTTAGTTGTAGCACTACCACTAGAAATAACACAAGACCTAGAACTAGAATCATTTGGGTTTAGCCGTCTTTAGAGACGTGCGGCTAAACCCAAATGATTCTAGTTCTAGGTATAGTGGTAGTTCTACATAGTAATAGTGTTAATGTAAAACTAGAACTAACACTATACCTACAACTAGAATCATTGGGGTTAGCCGTCTTTAGAGACGTGCGGCTAAACCCAAATGATTCTAGTTCTAGGCATAGTGTTAGTTCTACATAGTAATAGTGCTAGTGTAAAACTGGAACTAACACTATACCTAGAACTAGAATCATTCGGGTTTAGCCGTCTTGAGAGACGTGCGGCTAAATCCGAATGTTTCTAGTTCTTGGTCTAGTGGTAGTTCTAGCACTACTACTAGAAATAACACAAGACCTAGAACTAGAATCATACGGGTTTAGCCGTCTTTAGAGACGTGCGGCTAAACCCAAATGATTCTAGTTCTAGGTATAGTGTTCGTTCTACATAGTAATAGTGTTAGTGTAAAACTAGAACTAACACTATACCTACAACTAGAATCATTGGGGTTTCGTCGTCTTTAGAGACGTATGGCTAAACCCAAATGATTCTAGTTTTAGGTATAGTGGTAGTTCTACATAGTAACAGTGCTAGTGTAAAACTGGAACTAACACTATACCTAGAACTAGAATCATTCGGGTTTAGCCGTCTTTAGAGACGTGCGGCTAAACCCAAATGATTCTAGTTCTAGGTATAGTGTTAGTTCTACATAGTAATAGTGCTAGTGTAAAACTAGAACTAACACTATACCTACAACTAGAATCATTGGGGTTTAGCCGTCTTTAGAGACGTGCGGCTAAACCCAAATGATTCTAGTTCTAGGTGTAGTGTTAGTTCTAGCACTACCACTAGAAATAACACAAGACCTAGAACTAGAATCATTCGGGTTTAGCCGTCTTGAGAGACGTGCGGCTAAATCCAAATGTTTCTAGTTCTAAGTCTAATGTTAGTTCTAGCGCTAGTGATAGTGTTGGCTCTAGTTGTTGAATAAACTAGAAAGCTTTTGTATTTAAATAAATTCAGAAAAATTGAATAGAAATAATAAAAAAAAATTGTTTTGCATACCACATATTACATCAAGAGCATATAAATCTACAAATGGTACTATATTTACGAAGTTTAACTCAGTTTTCTCATATAACATTGATTTAAACATCCATTTATTGTGTAGAAGTGAAATTAAAACGTTATTGTGTTTAACAATAAGGAGATAATTTTAAAATGTATTTATATGATAAGGAATCAACTTTTACAACAATAAGAAAGGTTATTATGTTTCTTTGTTAGATTAATTTGTGAGAGATTTTATGATAAAATTAAATTGATTTGGGTCCGCGTAGTGTTGTTAAAGTTGCGTAAGATTGGTAAAAATTAAATTAAGGTTTCCATAAGATTGAAACGCCAATTCATTCATAGTCGCCTGTGGTTTCTTGACGTGAATGGCAATGCAAAAAGAGTCACAACGTAACCGAATGGATTTGAACGGGAAAAACCGTCGTTATTCCCGAACCGGGTACTAAATCAAACTTGACACTTTTAACAATAATTGACCCAGTTCACATATAGATACTATACCCTTCTATTAAATCCCTGGTTTTCTCTTTTTAAACCAACGACAAATTACGTTTTAGAATTACAATTAAAAATTCTTGATTATCAATCAATCGGATTTAATGCCTAACCCAAGGCAGTTTATTTTACAAAATTTATAGCGTCAAGAAAATATTGGCGTCTATTTAGTTATCTAATCGATTTTATTTATGTGCATCTAATTACAATATATATCTTCAGGTTGTTCTCGTTTTATACTTTTTACCTGATTTTATTGTGGTATTTAATAATTCTAATAAAAGTTTCAGATAGTCACTTATGTCATTTTTTTCAAGATGTTTTGATTAGTATACGATAACGACTCCATTAATACAATTAACAAGTTATTATTTTGTATATTGTTCCGAATTTGATTATTTTATCATGATAATAACATAAGTTTTAAACTTAATGAGTTATCAAGATCAGATTTTAAACAATTTTTCTGGAATAATTTTTTTGATATGTTATCATTGCTGAATATATGGTATATAAACGAGGTCTCCGATTCCGACGTGGGTTCTACGAGTATTATCATAACGCGGAAATTGCGATGAAACTCTTTATAACAATTCAAATTTTGTTGGTTATTTCTTATAGTTTTATTCAGGTTTCTACATCTGGTAAGATTCTTAATAAATATTTTTATAAGCAATAATTTTTTTTATACCTTATAGAAGTCAACGAAGAATGTGTTACCGAAATAAATTGCGAACGCGCTCCGGATGGAAATCAACTTAAACGTCACCCAACGGATTGTAGAAAATCCTACAAATGCGTTAACGGCGAAGCTAGAATATACAGCTGTGAAGCTAACAAATATTTCATTGATGATTTACAATCTTGTGAAGTTCCAGAGGATACAACATGTAATGTGATATGCATCGAAACTGAAACGCCAGAAATTTCACCTGAATCGAGACCAGAGATTCACTGCGACATGAATGAATATTGCAAATCCAACCCGACTGAAAATCATCTTAAACGCCATCCAACTGACTGCACAAAATCTTTTAGATGCGCAAACGGTGAAGCAAGAATATACAGTTGTCCTTCTAATCAACACTTCTATGCTGATATCCAAGCTTGTGACGTTCCCAAAGATGAAGAGTGCACCATTCACGCGCTTGAATGTACTCTTACTACCACTGAAGCTGAAAGTACCACCACTGTGATTCAACCCGAATCAAGACCAGAAGCTCACTGCGACATGAATGAATATTGTAAATCCAACCCAACTGAAAATTCTCTTAAACGCCATCCAACTGACTGCACAAAATCTTTTAGATGCGCAAACGGTGAAGCAAGAATATACAGTTGTCCTTCTAATCAACACTTCTATGCTGATATCCAAGCTTGTGACGTTCCCAAAGATGAAGAGTGCACCATTGACGCGCTTGAATGTACACTTACTACCACTGAAGCTGAAATTGAAAGTACCACCGCTGCGATTCAACCCGAATCAAGACCAGAAATTCACTGTGACATGAAGATATATTGTAAAAATGGTCCCACTGAAACTACACTTAAACGCCATCCAACTGACTGCACAAAATCGTTTAGATGCGCTAACGGTGAAGCAAGAATATATAGTTGCCCTCCTAATCAGCATTTCTTCACTGAGTTGCAAATTTGTGATGTTCCCAAAACGGAACAGTGTGAAATTGAAGCGATTAAATGTGGTAATACTGCTACCGAAGCTCCTATCGAGATTACTACAATTGATATTCAACCCACTCCGAAACCAGAGGATCAATGTAACATTAATATGCATTGTAAATTTAGTCCCAACGAAGATGGATTTAGACGCCACCCAGCTGACTGCACCAAATATTATAGATGCGTAGACGGTTATCCCATTATTTTCAGTTGTTCAATGAATCAACAATTCTACACCGATTCTCAAATGTGTCATATTTCTAATAATCAATGTAATATTAATTGTGTACATGATACTACTGAAGTTGAAACTACAACTGTTATTCAAACTACAACTTCAATTCCAACTACAACTGTAATTCCAACTACAACTTTAATTCCAACTACAACTGTAATCCCAACTACAACTGAAAGTCAAACCACAACTGAATCTTCTGATGAAGACCTTGAATGTGATATTAGTAGATGTCCAGATATTAGTTTCGATGAAGTTGCTTATTTACGACACAAAGATTGCACAAAATATTGTTTGTGTCATGGTTCACTCATTTACACTTTAAGCTGTGGAGATATGTTGCATTTCAATTTGGATTTGAAAACTTGCGATTGGCCAAACAATGCAGGTTGTGCGAAATAATGGTTATAATAACTTTATAAATAACGAACAAAAAGATGGTTAAATAAATATTGTTACGATGTTAGTTTTATTATTTAATTTTTACCTAAAAACTACTAATTAATATAACTGCGTTTAATAAAATTTTTCCATTAACGATTACATTAAATTTATTAATAAATTACATTTTATTGTGAACGATGATGTGATGTATAATTGTTATCTAATTCTGAGTAGTTTTTATCAATTATCTAAGTGAAATTTTAGACGTTGCTATCCATGTATCCTCTAATAGTTTACTGACTTAATACGGACACAAATCTCTATTAAAGATGAACATGTTTTACTGTGTATTTCTGTTGGCGGTGTTTCTATGTACTTTAGGTAAGATATTTTGAATAAATCATTTAACGATTTTTTTAAAGTTAATTGAAGAATATTTTTTTATAGAATTAAGGTAATTAATCATTTGTTAGGTTTTTAACTTTTTTTTTCGTATATGGTTATACTAACCAAGATTTTATGCAAAAGAAGAGAAACGATAACATATTTTTTTTGTATTTTGCTGCTAAGTGACGTGATAATCAATTGGCTTTGAGTTTATAGACTCCTGATCCCAATAGCAGAGGAATTTTGTCTTTTATTATCGACATAGGATCAGCACCCCGTAGATCGCTAAGTATTCCATGTTTCATCACTGGGAAGAGATCTAACCTATTGATTTATTACTTGCCATATCGGTTGTTTGTAGACTTCTCCTTGTTGTTGGATGTCCTTCGACGCATAAAATAAATACATTTTTTGGAGTAAATCCTTTAGTAGTGGTTCTTCATTTAGTCAAACTTTTCCGTAATCTCTAAGGCTCTTTGGCTACTATGGAATCACGCATAGTAGCCATAACTTTGATTTTCAAACAGCTCTATATAAAAGTTATGATAATAAAGGCGCTACTCTCTAATATTGCTTATAAAACTTTCCTTTACAGCTTAAGTATGATAGGCAAAACTTTACAAGTTCTGGGCCATAGACGTACATGTAGAGTATCTTGTGGTCAATTTAATGAATTCATTTCCTCTCGTTCACAAAATATAAATTCATATTTCCAGTGCAATAAGAACCGCTCTAAGCTCGTTAAACGCATAGTCATAACTAGGGCACGGAACTTTTGTAACAAAACGATACGATTTCCCCCCTCCACTCGTTTTTAGCAGAAAATTTCATACAAAAGTTGTTCTAAATTAAATTTTTTCTCAATAAAAATATATATATAAAAATTTTTTTGATATTATTTTCTTAATTATTGATCAAATCAAAAATTTTTATTAACAACATTTGTTTAGAATTACTTCAGGAACAGTGTTTGTTAATACATTTTTTTGCTAACTTGAAATTTAAATAATTTCCCTCTGAATAGTATGCTATCAAAATTAATTATCTCAACAATTATTGTTTTTATTAAAAAATGTTTTAAATAAAATTTGTTTCAATTTCGATTTTGAATCAATTATCTTAATAAAAAATTTTTACATCTTTATTAATTAAGCATCTAAGTATAATTATGTATAAAAACGGAAAAATTATTATTTTGAGGTTATCTCCTTAATTATTGATTAAATCAAAAAAAATTTTTGACAAAGTTTGTTTAGAATTGTTTCAGGAACAATTTTTGTTAACATAATTTTTTTCTAACTTGAAATTTTAATTTCCCACTGAACAGTATGCTGTTTTTTAATCAAGATTTTCTGAGAACGAGTGGAGGGGGGAAATCGTATCGTTTTGTTACAAAAGTTCCGTGCCCTGGTCATAACCCTATGACATCATAAAACGATAAATTATGAATTATTAGAATCACTTCATTTGACATATTATTATTTTGCAATTAAGAAAAATAATAGTTCCGAAGTTTAGTTACATAAAATTTTTTTTAGATAATATAAGTGCTTGTGATATAAACGCACTTTGTCAAGAGCATGAATCACTGATGCCGTTTATCGCACACCCAAGTACCTGTTCAAAATCGTTTAAATGTAAAAATGGAGAAGCCGTAATCTATAATTGTCCTAATGGAGAAGAGTTTTCTGAAGAGTTACAAAAATGTGTTACATCAGGAAATGGTAATTGTGATGCAAGAAATAAAGAATGTTCGCAGAGTAATTGTAAGTATTATAATTATATTAAGCAGAAGCAATTAAAATATTATAATAAATGATTATTAATTTTAGATAATTCAAGTGTTTGTGACCCAAAAAAATTTTGTCACGAATACGAATTAGTAATGCCGTTTATCGCTCATCCGCATGATTGCACTAAATCGTATAAATGTAAAAATGGAGAAGCTGTTCTTTTTCATTGTCCCAGTGGACTGGAATTTTCTGAGATGTTACAAAAATGTGTTGAAGCTGGACAGAGTACTTGTAAATCTACGTGTACATAAAAACAGTAATAATTATTTTATCTAAAGCTATTTGAATAAAACTTGATAATGTCACAGGTCTAGAATTTTTCATGTGTCAGCATATTTTTGATATAAATAAATTTGTATTTTAATAAGAATTAATATATCATTAAAAAAAAAAATAATATAACAATACAATATTATAATTGCCTCGGTGTGATTCGTATTTGATTACCACTAGATGATTTCATAACAAACTCAGATGTAAGTACAAGTTTAACTGGTGGATCAGCCGGTAGCAACTCAAAATTTCGTACAACTTTTGTAATAACCGATTTCATTTGGTACATAGCAAACGTTTTTCCTATACAATCTCTCGACCCCTTTGAAAATGGTAAAAATCCGCTTAAATTAATTTTGGAGCTATTTTCCGGTAAAAATCTATCTGGATCGAATTTATTAGGTTCTTTAAAAAATTCCTCGTCGTGATGCATAGCGTAAATATTTATCGTTGTATCTGTACCAGCTGGTACAACACCTCCAGAAACTTGTAAATCTTCATCTAAAGTTCTCTCAATCATTGGAACAGCGGGGTAATGTCTTAAAGCTTCTTTTATTAACGCTTCTAAATAAACCATTCCGTGCATATCATTTCTTGTTATAGTTACATTTTTATCTCGACCTAAAATTTCTACTGATTCTTCAACAACTTTTCGTTGTATTTCAGGTTTATGCGCGATTTCGTATAAAGCGTAAGCTATTGTTGAAGCAGGCGTATCTTGACCCTAGTTTAATCAAAACAGATTAAAATATTCTTTAGTTTTATTTTTAAGTACTTACAGCAACAACGAAAGTGTTCACGTGATCGATTAATCTATCACCCGTTAAACCAGCTTCCGTGATAATTTCAAAAACGTTTTTAGTATCCGTGTCGTCATTTGAGCGATTTTTTGAGGTCTTCATGTATTCAGATATAAGAAACTTTGAAAAATCTCTCAAAATTTCTTCGCAACGTCTACTTAAACGGTATTCATTTGTTAATTTGAACAAGAAATTGTATCCTTTGTACAAAGAATATGTTCTGTTCATGACTATTGTTAAAAATTGTGATCTGGCATTTAAATATTCCATGTCACCAGTTTTTAAGATGTGTGTTCTTACTCCAATCATTGTTTCTAAATAATTCAGAAATAGAAGTTATATATTTTTATTTGTTATGTATTTTCACTGAAATATAACTGGAACTAACACTAGACCTAGAATTAGAAACATTCGGATTAGCAGTGAGTCTCTCAAGACGGCTAAACCCGAATGTTTCTAGCTTTAGGTCTAGTGTTAGTTCCAGTTTTATGCTAGCACTGTTACTATGTAGAACTAAGACTATATCTAGAACTAGAATCATTTGGGTTTAGCCGCACGTCTCTAAAGACTGCTAAACCCGAATGATTCTAGTAATAGGTCTAGTGTTAGTTCCAGTTTTATGCTAGTACTGTTACTATGTAGAACTAAGACTATATCTAGAACTAGAATCATTTGGGTTTAGCCGCACGTCTCTAAAGACAGCTAAACCCGAATGATTTTAGTTCTAGACATAGTTTAGTTCTACATAGTAACAGTGCTAGTATAAAACTAGAAATAACCTAATAACCTAAAACTAGAACTGACACTATACCTAGAACTAGAAACATTCGGGTTTAGCCGTCTTTAGAGACGTGCGGCTCAGACGTCTGAGGACGCACGGCTAAACCCGAAACTTTCTAGTTCTAGGTCTAGTGTTAGTTCTAGTTTTAATTGTTATTCAGTGCTAGATTGTTGCATATTTTGAACCAAAACTAGAACTAACATAAGACCTAGAACAAGAAACATTTGGGTTTAGTGGTTTTGGGACGCGTGGCTAAACTTAAATGTTTCTAGTTCTAGGTCTAATGTTACTTCTAGTGATAGTGTTGAATGTTTTTATTTAACTACAACAGACCCTTTAAACTAGAAAGCTTTTGTATTTAAATAAATTCAGAAAAATTTAATAAATAATAATAAAAAAAATTATTTTGCATACCACATATTACATCAAGAGCATATAAATCTACAAATGGTACTATATTTAAAGCGTTTAACCCAGTTTTCTCATATAACATTGACACCAATTGGTTACCATGATATTCAAAAGCAATATTGTAAGGATCCATTAGTTTCGTGTTAAACGCAACGTTCGTTAATTTTCTATCTTTTCTCCATAAATCAACTACAATTTATTAATGATATTACTAAAGTGTATAAAGATTTAAATGGGTTAGTATTTTAATGAAGTTATTAAATACCGTGTGATGTCACTAAACCATTCCCCAAAAAGGGAAACATATGGTTGTAAAGTGACGATTTACTCAGTGAGGAATTTAATACTTTTTGTGCCACTCCTGGATCTGCTATCACTATTTTTGGCGTTATCGGACTAACCCATATTTTTACAAACTTTCCAAATGTTTTGTTTAAAGAAATTATATTATGAAACATATCTAAAAACAAATAAATAAATAAAATTAATTTTTTAATTAAAAATATAAAAATTTACCTTCAATATTTCCTTTCATAAGCCCCATATTTCCTATTAAAATATTGGGTGGGGGCCCAGGAATATTCTCCATTGACTTGTACTTCCATTTTTTTGTGTACAAAAGTTGTAAGCAAAAAACGGCAAAAAGAATTAACACCAAATACATTTCAACTACAATCGAGTTAATTTTATTCCCGAATTTGCGTTTTATTTAAAAGTATTATCACTTATTTATATATTGCGATGTTCTTTTAATAGTACTCATCCATAACTAAGCGACGTAATGAGATTTCGTGTCGATTTGACCTTCAAGAAAATAGTTATAACAGTGATTTAAGATTCGATGTATCTTACTTATTAATAATTTTTATAAAACTAAACTTAAACTCTTAGATGTTCTATAACTTTACTACTCACCTATGTGTTAATGAAAAAATGTGTTTTTCTTTGTATAAATTTAACTGTTACAGCCTTGAGGTATGTTTTTGACTGTGTAAAAAAGTATGTCTTCATAACGGATCATCTATTTTATCTGTTTGCGTTATATTAATATCTTTTCTGCTTAATTAAAAAAAACATTGCAATAACAAAAGTTATCAAAACATAAATTTATCCTTTGATAAACTTAGAAATTAAACAATATAACGAGTTTTCGAAATGCAAAATAAAACTAAGACAATAAAACCCGATGACTATTGTAAATAATTAAAATAGGTTTAATTTTAAAATAAAATTTTATTTTGAAATAATGTTAAGTGTGCCATCTGTTGAAGAAAAGACTAACTTTGATATAGTTCCTTGGAATTATATTGACCATTTACATGATTCTGTAAAATAACAATTAATTATTATTAGTAGATAATTATTTTTGCAAGAATCTCAACTTTATTTATTAAATTTAAAACGACTATTCAAATTTCGTGGATTATTTTATATTTAGAGAAAATGGTAGAGTAAGCAGATTTTATGCTTCGGCTTCTTTGACATAGAGTGCACTCTCCTTAATGTCTTTAACTTCTAAACTTTTCCAAATTTTTTTTGTTAGCGTCACAGATCATATGTATTTGAATTTATAAAAATTTTTAGACTATTTTAAACATGCTTTCCAACATTCTTTAGACAATTTCCAAAACTTTATAGAAGATTTCAAAAGTTATTCAAAACATTTCCGAGATTTACCAGAAAATTTTCAGGGATTTTTATATATTCTGGAATTTATATGCATGGCACAAGATTTTCTACAGTTTTCCAGAAAACTTTTAATCATACTTCGAGTATTTTGAAGTGTTTTTACAGATTTACAATAGATGTTAAGGATTTCTAAAATTGCTTTTCAAACATTTACAGAAAAGTTTTCAAGAATTTGTAATATTTTTCAAGAGTTTTCAATGATTTTTGGGATTTGTCTGGAAGGAATTGGTTTTCCAGAGTGTTTACAAGATGATTTCTAGTAAGTCAGATGATTCAGTTAATGATTTTCGAATACTGCTTGAAATTTTAATGGGGTTTTGATATAATATGGAAGCATTATAGATTTCTAGAAAATTTCTAAGTATTTTCTGCGATTTCTAGTAGATTCTAGGCTTTATTGGAGATGTATTTTAGTTTTCAAAGACTTCTATGATTTTCAAGATTTTACTGAAACTTTCTAATAGTCTTTAGACGATTTCTAAATTGTTCTAGAAGACTTTAATGGTTTTTCAAAACATTGGCAATGTTTTCCAGAAGTTTTCCCATTATTCCCTGATAGCACTTAGAAAAAATCTTGACTACGATTTCAAAGAATTTTTAGAGATATGTAAGGTGTGTTTTAAATTTTTCAACAAATTTCCTATATCTTCTAGAAGATTACCACACATATTTTGGTAGCATTCCAGATTTTTCAACAACATACAATAACTTAAAACAACTTTCAGAGATTTTTATATATTCGGGGATTTACATGCATGGCACAATATTTGCCATAGTTTTCCAGAAAACTTCTAATCATAGACTATTTTGAAGTGTTTTATAAGATAGACACCAATTACAGTTATATTCGTTTCATACACATTAATAAAAGAAAGATGATGCCGAATATAGTGCTCTAATAATAAATAAACGTTCTAGAAGATTCCTAAGATTTTCCAACACATTACCTATAGTTTTCAAAAATTTCTGAGGTTGCTTTAGATGTTACAACGTTTTGTCCAACGATTTACAGAAAACTTCCCACTATACCTCTACTACATTCAGTAGATTTCTTTCTGAGATTTGTTTGAAAGCACCACGTCTTCCAGAGTGTGTACAAGATGATTTCAGATAAGTTTTCAAATCACTTCGGAGTTCAAAGCACTCTTATGGTTGTTTAGATTTAGGGATATCCAATAGTTTCTAAACATTATTGGAGATGTATGATATGTAATAGCGTTAACTAAATAGCGTTAACTAAACTGCATCCTTAAAATCATATACAGTGTGTTAATTAATTATTGTACATTTCGTCATCATTGCAAGTATGCAACCAATATCACAGTATTTTTATTGCAATACGCGATTTACCTATGATGCGTATTACACTGTGATATTGGTTGCATACTTGCAATAATGACGTCGGGTACGATAATTAATTATTAATTGGTTGCATATTTGTATTGAATTAAAACTAGAACTAACACTAGACCTAGAACTAGTATCTGAGTGTTTCTACTTCTTGGTCTAATGTTAGTTCTAATTTTACACTACCACTATCACTGGAACTAACACTAGACCTACAACTAGAATCATTCGGGTTTAGCCGTCTTTAGAGACGTGCGGCTAAACCCGAATGTTTCTAGTTCTAGGTCTAGTGTTAGTTCTAGTTCGCACTAGCACGATCGCTGAAACTAACACATGATCTAGAATCATTCGGGGTTAGCCGTACGTCTCTAAATAACACGTTACGGCTAGCAACATCGATGTGCCTCATTCCAAAATTCAAATTATTTAAAATTTTGACTCTCTTGGTGTAGTAAGTGTAGATAAAGTTGCCTATATAGTACATAATAAATCGATATGTATTTTTGGTAGTATAAACATCTTTTGTTGTTAAAAATCGATTGGAGAGACAAAAATTTAAATTGTTTTTTATCACAAAAGAATTATATACCTGTATAATCAGGTTGTTCTAAGAATACGTTCATAAACACAGAAAAAAAAGTTATAAACAAAGCTATCTCCACTTTTATTATTTTCGAAAGGGCGTATAGCATCCAACATAAGGAGTACTAAATGTGGTTATTTTGTTAATGAAGAATTATAACCCCAAAATTTGAGTCTAGTTTTATAAAATATTAAGCTACTTTTAATTTATTGGCCTTCATAATTAAAGCTTTTAATTAATATAGAAAATAATAAACAACTTTATTAGGTTCTCTTTAAAAATACCTTTATTTTGGTGCATCATCTACTACGTAAAATATTCAATCATGTATTTTATATGCGGAAAATTCAAATTTTCTGAACTCTCTGATAAAGTTATTTACGATCGTGTACAGCGTATCAAATACTTTTGCTTAAGTTTTTTTCAGTAAAACGCATGACGATGTCATGGTAACGGATTCTTCGGCGGATTCAGGTTCCGTTGACGTTGTCGACGTCGTTGTTCCGGTGTTTGCTGTAGGTTCCGCATATTTGCCAACTCTCACCCCATATTACATCACAACCTCACACATGCAGCAATATCCACGTGTGAATAACCATTGTAATTCACGACCTTAACCCGATATTGAATTGATAATATTTTTAAAGCAACGTTATTCTAATACATAATACCTGCGAAAAAAGCTTTTAGATTGGAATTTAACAGTTTTTAGGTAGTAGAATTCCTGTAATTTGTAAAATTATATGAACGCATTGATGCGTGGATTTTTCCGAATAAATGACCGGTTTATAAATTGAACAATGGAAATATACCGCAGGAATCTAGTGAAACCAACTAGTCCCGTTATTGATATTTCATCTGGATAGCGCACTCTCGTAACGACATCAAACCGCAAAACCATAAAATTTAAACAAACGTGATATATTGCCATTCATCACTTTAAATGGTACGATGTAATACACGAATAAATTTTAAATGTTTATGAAACGTATATAAATAATAGATATACCAAATTATTAGCTTCCTTAGGTACACATCTCGATTTCGCATCGTCTGATCCAATTAACTTTAACATCTTAATACGAAAATTAGTGGTTATAATCGAGTTAACATCAAACTCGACGTATATTAGCTGACACCAAAGATATCCCCCAAAGTCGCGTTGACGTATCCAACGTTCTGCTGTATTAGTTAGGGACGTATGAAATGTTGTCGTGGTATGCTTTCGGGTTTCGAATTAATTAGATTAAGGTGAATAAGGAAATTTGATTTCAAATCCGTTTTGACGTATATTGTATCATTATAAGTATCGCGTGTTGTGATAAAATTGGATTAGTATACAGGGTGTCCCGCAACGATTGTACAATACTGCATCAGCGTATTCTCTGACCGAAAACAGACAAGAAAAGTCTAATAAACATTGGTCCGAAAATGGACCAATTTCGAGATATTCAAAGTTTTAGTTTCATAAGCTGACCTATTGTAAACATCATTAATTCTAACGATTTAGATGCAGTAATTATATGATTACCATGGTTACGATGGTTAAGATAAAGTTTAATAAATAATAAGATAATATTAAGTTAATTAATACAGTTCATTAATAATTTAACAAAACAAGTAACAAAGCAAAAAACCAGCATAAAAACAACGAATATTTAACAAATTGGAAAAGATTCATGTCATAATAAATGTTCAATATGCGCACCATTTACTTCTAAACACAAACGGATACGTTTTCTAAATGAACTTCTAATGCGTTCAAAGATACCAGGAATTTGTTTTACTGTGTCAAATGCGTTACTAATTTTATTCTTCAAATCCTGCACATTTTGAACGTCTTCAGAATAAACAATTTGTTTTAAATGTTCCAAAAATCTAACGGATTTAAATCTGGTGAACGAGGTGGCCCTCCTCGGCCAATCCACTTATTGCCAAATCTGTTATTTAAGTATGCTCAAGTAGCGCGTGCATAATGTGCTGGTGCTCCATCGTGCATAAAGTAGCAATCTTCTAGAATTTGTTGAGGTAATTTATCAAATGCCTCTGTAAGGTCATTTTGTAAAAAATGTATGTAGGCATCGGCTGTCAATCTCTTTGGAAGAAAAAATGGACCTAATAACTGATCACCTATAACTCCAGCCCATACATTAACACTGAATCGCCACTGATGATGAGTTTCTAGTATTGTATGGGGATTTTCATCGCTCCAAACATGCGCATTATGAATATTAAAAATTCCGCTTTGAGTAAATGTTGCTTCATCCGTAAATACAATGTTTATGGGAAAGTTGACGTTTACTACCTCTTCCTGTATGGCCCACCTACAAAAAATCTCTCTTTTTTCGCCATCATTTTCTGTTAGAGCTTGAACGGTGTTGTAATGATAAGGATAAAGCAACTGCTCCCTTAAAATGCGGTGAACGGTTGTTTTGTTAATGTTTTCTTGTGCAGAAATTCTTCTAATGCTGGTTGAGGCATTTTCAT